GTGAAACAAAGATGTGTCATTTGTCACATTTTAAATGTTTGTCATTTTTTTAAAAGAAAAATACTTATTTGTTGGAACAAACCTGGAATGTCCATTTGTACAATTTGCTTACCTTTTTATCAGAATTCAAAACTAAGCTTTGAACATGTTAGCAAACAATACTAAAGTTATTTCTACCTTGACCATTTTCTGGAGGTAATGGAGACAAAGACGTTGTGGGACGAGGGGAGACAATAAGCTTATACGTCACATCCTCTTTATATCAATGTGCACTAAATCAATCGGAAATATAGGACACCGGGTTTTGGGGAGGGGGGGGGGTGTGCTTATGAATTGCGCAACAAAGCAACAGGCATAAGTCATTAAACAAATTCATTAAACAAAGTCATTAAACAAAGTCATTAAACAAATTCATTATACAAAGTCATGACAAAAGTCATTAAACAAAGTCATTAAACAAAGGGTTGATACAGTATAGCAGTGATTCTCAACCTTCCTAATGTCATGACCCTTCAATAGAGCTCCTCGGGTTGTAGCGACCCACAGCCACACATTATTTTCGTTTCTACTTTATAACTGTAGAGCACATGTCAAAATATGTGTCTTTAATTGATCTCTGTAAACGGGTCGCGACCCACAGGCTGAGAACCGCTGCAATAGAGGATCTTGTTTTGCGTCACATTGTCTGTCAAATTAACCCCACGAGCTCAAATATTGTTTTTTACACACCATAAAAAAGATTCACGCTCATAATACAATTATGCGCCTCTCACAACTCACACACATACGGCCTAATATATTTAATCAAGCCTTTCCTACCGACGTACCCACATACTTTTAAACCGAAACATAATCCAATCCACCCTTCCATATCCACAAACATGAATCAACCACTTAACAGTTGTCAGTATTTTTTGTTGTTTACTTTTGAATTCCTTACTGTCAAATTTAAACAGTTTTTTCCCTTAACCAACGCTTCGAATGAGTGATCTATTTCCTAAGCGCCAGATGGGTCGTGTGCCCACCATGTTAGTTGGTGGGTCAATGGGTCGTGTGCCCACCATGTTAGTTGGATGGTCAATGGGTCGTGTGCCCAACATGTTAATTTGTTTGTCATGCATTGTGCATTCATCAAATTGATCTGTCATGTTATGTGAGTGACAGGGGACAGTATTATTAAACTTAAACGTTGAACATTCTATCCTCGCATGTGTTGGTCTTTGTTTTATTGTTGAACATATGGGGGGGGGGGGCGCGGCGTTACTGTCTGTCTGAGGACAGGTGTGACGTCATACACTTAAATATCGTGTTTCTTGGGGGGGTACATGGTACGTCACACACTTAAATATNATGTACAACGGTGCTGCAGATCGCTGTCTGTCGTGAAATCTGACTCCCCCACCCCTACCCCGACATACACAAACAAACACACAAACATACACACACACCGGGTAACTCCCTCACCTTCAGTAAACATTTAAGATTTAGTGACAGCAGCTTTCAGTGCGTCAGGACTTTTCAAGATGTCATCAAGCAGTTTTATCCCCCCCCCCCCTTTCCTCCATACCCCAAATATTCTCATCACATTTGATTTTTTAAAATTTCATCACATTTAAAAAAAAAAATTATTGTTATTATTAAAATCCAACTTAACTGGCTAGAGGAATAACAACAGAAACCATTGTTAATTTTTTTTAAAATCTGGCTAGTTTTGTTTTGTCTACCTGTTGTTGACCTGATTCCAGTATTAACTATGAAACAATAAACTACCTTTCAGTACAGGACTATCGATTTTTTTTTTAATGTGTAAAACTGTCATGGGGGCAGCGAACTAATTTGTTAAATCATTGAGTCCATCCACTGGATGTAGTAGGCCCTATTTGATGATAATAGACTGGCTTGTTTGTTAAATCATTGAGTCCATCCACTGGATGTAGTAGGCCCTATTTGATGATAGGTTAGCAGGGCCTATGTCAGGATGTGTGTGTGAGGGGGAGGGGACTCTTTCTTTTGGGGGTGGGGGTGGGGTTCACCTTGCACGGCCTTTAGTCAAGGTCGACCCCTGCGTGTACTATCGACATTTTAAGGCTTTCTGGTGGCAATTTTGTGCGCCATGTTTTGGCGTTGGGTGCTGGCGCCCCTTCATCTTTTTCTATACGAGTGACTGATTTGCGATTATTTTTTTTATATTAAACGATTTTGTTTTAGAAACCGAATCACTCAGAGTAGGGGTCATAGGGGTCACCAAACTGTTTTCATAGGGGGCCGGATAACGGACCAAAAAAGAAAAAGACGAGCGCGGGCCGCGTAATCATTCTGTACATTCTGAGAAAAAAGACGAAAAAACTAAGTTTAGCATTCCAAGTTAATCATGGGTGAACGGCGTGTAATGCACACACAAAAAAAACAACAAAAATCAAAGACAACCAGCATATTTATTTACTAAAAAGTTATCAAAGAAGGCGACGAACGCAACAATCAAAAAAAAAAAAAAAAAAAAAAAGAAAATAAAGTCAAACCAAAAAAAAAAAAAAAAAAAAAAACAAAAAAAACCACCATATTTATTTAATAAAAAGTTATAAAAGAAGGCGACAAACGCAACAAAAAAAAAAAAAAAAAAAAAAGAAAAGGTCGTGACGTCAGACCCAGTGAGCACATATTCGAATCTGTCAAACTAAGCAGTAAAAAAAGGTTAGTGAGATTGTGGAACTGACGTTTGGCGTTCAGGGCATCTTCAATGTTTGGTTTGCTGCATCCAATCAAGATCAAGAAAATTGCTTTCAAATTTGTATCAGTTAATCTCATCTAAGAGAAGGAAACTCTGAAATAAAACCCGGAGATGGAGTCCCAAAATGCGGATAACATTGATACAATGAAACATTCCGACAACTCCGGCGACGTCACTGGTGCCAAGCTATATCATCCTATGATGTTCCCTTGGATTAGCCAGTGGCGTGGAGAGAGGCGATTTGCTGTTGGGAACCGGCTTATAATCCTTGAAGCATAATCCCAGGCCATGTGGATTTCGTATTCTACACATACTATTTAAATTGTATCACAAAGTCCGGGTTTCTATACATTTTATCAAGCAAATTCAAGTACCGTCGACGGGACGGACGGATGAACTGACGTCGCGGGCCGTAGTTTGGTGACTCCTGACTTAGATAGTGTTGTGTGTTCAACCTTTTGTGCCCCCCCCCCAGTGCCCCAATGGAAGGAGACGAGTTGTCTTGGTTCACACACAAAAATACCCAAACACTAACTACAGCTGATGATGTTTTTTGTCTTTTGTTTAAACGTATAATAATGTAGGTGCTCAGAAATATAGGTGCTCAGAGATGTAGGTGCTCACAAACGCAGGTGCTCACAAATGTAGGTGGTCACAAATTTAGGTGGTCACAAATGTAGGTGCTCACAAATTTAGGTGCTCACAAACGTAGGTGCTCACAAATTTAGGTGCTCACAAAAGTAGGTGCTCACAAATTTAGGTGCTCACAAAAGTAGGTGCTCACAAGTGTAGGTGCTCACAAATGTAGGTGCTCACAAATTTAGGTGCTCACAAATGTAGGTGCTCAGAAATGTAGGTGCTCACAAGTGTAGGTGCTCACAAATGTAGGTGCTCACAAGTGTAGGTGCTCACAAATTTAGGTGCTCACAAACGTAGGTGCTCACAAATGTAGGTGCTCACAAATGTAGGTGCTCACAAATGTAGGTGCTCACAAAAGTAGGTGCTCACAAGTGTAGGTGCTCACAAATGTAGGTGCTCACAAAAGTAGGTGCTCACAAGTGTAGGTGCTCATAAATGTAGGTGGTCACAAATGCAGGTGCTCACAAACGCAGGTGGTCACAAACGCAGGTGCTCACAAACGCAGGTGCTCACAAACGCAGGTGCTCACAAACGCAGGTGCTCACAAATGTAGGTGCTTCCTAAAAGCGTTGGCGTGAAGAAGGCATGCTTGGGAAACGTTGGATAATTTTTCTCAGAGAATATTTATCTCATAGAAGTCTAGTACAAACCCGTGATCAAATTTCTTTAAATTGAATGTCAGAGTGTAACTGTATGCAGTCCATTTGAAACATGCGGGTAATATGGCAGGTATGCTTATGTCAACTAAAAATAGAGTAGCAAACATATCAGAAGAATTATGATGATTTTTCTGAGAACCTTGACATCTGTTTTCACATTCTTGTATCAAATCGAAGGGCAAGACGTCAAGTTTTTGGTTGTTTACATAACCGTGTTTAGCCAACCTGTCTTGATGCATAGAATTGTTGTTTGCCATCAGATTGTCGTGGTTTTGGTTTCATTTCCAAACATGTTTAGTTTTAAACATTGTAGTGATCAGTTGGTTTGGCCGTTAACTCAAGCTTAACCAATTTAGTTGAGAGGTCAAGTCTACAACTCTTTTGAGCTACTTTTTCTTTGTCAATGTCTGGCAAATATTTAGTTGATTAGTCCATAAACGAATTCATTTCACTTTGCAAATTATACAATCTTTTCAGCATTTAACCTTAACCTAACCATCTTACTTCTGAAATGGAAATGATGTCCCCATGACCAGCAGCCATAATTAATTTCTGGAATCGGCAAGGTCAATCCCCTGGATGGCCTTGATGGCAGCCTACATGACGATAACAATCTTTAAAGCTTTTGCGCATAACATTTCTTGGGCTACTAGGCTATGCAGTGATATTTAATCATACATAATTTTGGCAGGCAATGGAATCCATTTCAAATAATTTTACAAGACAAATTAAGAAAAAACAACATTACATCATCGAAGCACAATTAGGAGCTTTACTTTACCAGATTTGTTCACAATAATATAAAGTCGCGTAAAGTAAAGGTATTTTTACTGCTTCCTATAAATCTCCTGATTTGGGTTTGTCTTTTAATCGAACTAAAGGAGCCATTTCTTCGGTCAATACTTCTGTCACAATCTCATTAATTTTGTAAGTTTACGATTATTAGTTTAGGCAGCATTTATTTTGGGTCTCAGGTTGGACACCCATGTCATAAATATAGTTTAAGCGTCCTTCAATTTATCTATAGTTTCGTAAGTTTAAATAATATTTTGAAAGGAGTAAGTACGCGATAAAAAAGGAAATGTAAACATTTGGTTATAGTTTTTATTTAACTGCGCGCCAATTGGTCGTTTGGTTTCGATGTAAACAAAAATATATTAAGAAAAGAAGTAGGAGCTAAACTGAATTAATCCTAAAGCCAAAGGCTAGAAAAAGAAATCACATTGAGAAGATATTTATTTACTCCTCGCTAATACAGACTTTTAAGGCAAGTATTAAGTTAAATGTGCAGCCCCTTTTTAAGTTGAATGCAAGATGGCGTTAAAAAATTATAGTTGAAAATATCGCCGTCTAGTCCTAGCAAAAGTTAAAGTACCAGTCCCGTGACTCAGTCAACTGAATCAGAATGAGTTACTAACTTCTTGTCTTTAAACTTTATTAGCCTATAATTTAGTAACATAGTTAATAGTTCTCTCACCTACTCCTGTCTAGTCTAGTCATAATTAATAAAGGAAAGGCGAATTTATATGTCACTTTGATGAAAATTTCTAAACATTAAAAAAAATTTAAAAATACTACAGCTGTATAGAGCCAATAGAATGGTTTACGAAACGAAATGTCTACACGTCCGGCGCGCCCGACAAGTAGTGCGCAATATATACGTCCGGCGGCATGTCATGCTAGTAGTTTTTATTATTCCGAACGAAGTACAGTTTGGTAGATCTTGCGTGGTCTAGTGGTAGAGTTATTGCTTAATGTTATTATGATTTGAGGATCAATGCCGGGGAAAGGATAGTTTTTTTCCCATTTTAATTAAAAATATTGTATACTATATTTTTATTATCATGTTTATCAGCAACAGTAGTTTCATGAGAAGTTTTTAAATATTTTTTAGCAATTTAAACAATTTAAAATGAAATATTTTACTTTTATTGGTTGTCTACTCCACACTGGCCCCTAATTTATTTGATGGATTACTGGTACAGTACACAAACTCAAATAAAAAACAAAACAAAAATGTTTACAAGCCACTTTCTGAAAGCATACATTTTTCTGATCTGTATTTTATTTATTTTAAATTTACCTTACTTTTAGATGGACATTATCTATTTGTATTGAAAATTTCATTGCAATAGCTTTATTAGTTTAAAAGTTATCTATTTAAGTGTAAAAATATCTCGGCCGCAGTCGCTTTTCATGAAATATTTTTTCTAACGTTGCATAAATTTTTCTGATCTGCATTTTATTTATTTTAAATGTGCCTTACTTTTAGATGGACATTATCTGTTTGTATTGAAAATTTTATAGCAATAGCTTCATTGGTTTAGTAATTATGTCATTTTTAAAAAAAATTAATTTTTCGACTACTGTCGTTATCCACGCCATGTGCAAATAAAATCAAATTTTTTCAAATATGATAAGTTAATTCACAATTCATGTGTTTTGTTTTGTTAAACATTGTATTTTAAATGTTTCCTCCGAATTTGAGAGCTCTAACTTTAATAGCCAAAAAGATACATGCAAAATAGTACTAAAAGAGTAATAATGCGATCACAGTCTTAAAAATTAAATACAAAGCCGAATAGTGGGGAAAAATAAATCACTAAAAAAATTCATAACTTTTCTCCTATAAGTGATAGAAAGATTATCTTGGTGTCATTGGAAAGCTTTGAGCCAGCTCTTTCCAATGATATGCTCTTTGTGTATGTCAGGTGTATTTGAAAATTTGAGTTGGAGTGCCTAACTTTCACTTAAGTTTTTTTCTATTATTTGCATTCAAGATACTAAGTACATTCATTACTTGGTAGAGAAATGGATTTTAAAATTAACAATTTAATAACAATAGTTTTGAATCATTCACAGTCACGTGATAAGGCTGACCGACAAGATATCTCTCGCCACTTTGTTACGGCGGTCATGTGACTTGGTCGCCGGACAAATAGTGCGGGAGATATACGTCCGGCGCGTGTAGACACTGCCTTTACGAAAACACCAAGATCAACTTTCTAGCTCAAGTGGTTCAAAAGTTATTAATTTCTTTATTACTATTGGCTATTGGTTTAATTTAATTTTTAAAAAATGTATTGTCAGTTATTTTAACTTAATTTTGTCTTTGATTTGTGAAAATCATTGAAATGCTTGTTAACTCAGTGTAGTGTAAAGATTAGGCTAACCTTCAATTCAATTGAGTCAGTTATTGTTGCAGGCCTAAACAAAAAAAACTATGTGAATGTGGTCTTTCCTAAACTATGTTTAGTAATTGTTTAGCAAAGACCACATAATATTTTTTTAATAGTAATTTATTAGTAAATTGTGTAGTCTAAGTTATAGATTATCATAATAAAATTTAAAAAATTATTAGAAAGACTTAAAATATAGATGACTTTGATTATATGGTCGACAAATTTTAAATTTAGGGCTACTAGCACACAGGAATCATTGTCATAGCCTTTAACTTTAATTTCTATCAAGTAGCCTGCCTATTGTATATAGACATAGTTATATAGGGACTTTTAAAGTATACTATATTTATAACCTACTTCTACTGAATATGTATATTAAGAAATCGTGTCAGCGAGCCATGTAGCCAAAGCTCTTAATGCCCTCCCCAAAGCATTCCCCTCAAGCCCATAAAGTCCCCTATTGGGCCACAAGTGAAACATCAGAGATCTAGGACGTATTTTCACTCCATTGAATAGCCTTATGGGGGCCATCTCAGCCTAAAACATCAGAGATCTAGGACGTATTTTCACTCCATTGAATAGCCTTATGGGGGCCATCTCAGCCTAAGGTTAAGGACATCCAGTCCGTCGCGTCGGTGATGTTGCTCTCACAACATCAGCAATTGACATTCGCCACGGGTCGAGATGGTGAATTTACGTCCTTATCTCCCCCTGCCATTCCTGGGGAAGCATAAGGCACCCTCTAATAGGGTTTATTAAAGTGGGTTTCTTCCTCGTAATTAGTTCATGAAGTAGCTGGGACGAAATGGCTGCTTGTCTCATTTGCCTACTGTTACTTAGACGGTTAGAACCTACTTTTAACTGAATTAACTGCATTTAATCTCTAATAAAAGTATTGATGTTTTACTAGCTATGAAGGTAATAACACCAGAAATATCATGGCATGAAAGAGATCCCATCTACAGTATTGATTTTCAGCCTGGTCAGTGGCCAATTCAGAGGCTCGCCAGTGGAGGTGTAGACAAGATTGTGAGGGTAAATAATGTTTTAATTTTTTTAATTGAAATATTAATAAAATATCTTATTTCTTTTGGTTAAAATATATAGTAAGATTTATGCTATTAAAAAAAAATGTTATATCATATGATATTCATCTAAAGATTACACACTTTTCGATAATATAATAAGAATATGTTTCATTTATATATTAGGATATTCTAATCATGTGAACTACTATCCAGATATGGCAAATGACTTTGGACTCAGAGGGAAAGGCAATGGTTGTCATCCTGTCAAACCTGCGAAGACACACTGCTACAGTGAATGTTATTAGATTTTCTAAAAATGGTATGCTCAATAATAATAGTGTGTTTAGGTGAATGTTGATACACTTTTGGTATATGTGCTAGTGAAACAGTTGCTGCAATTGCAGTTGTAGCAGTGGCAGTTACTGTCTATTAAAATGTGATTTTCTGACAATGTTAATTTAAAAAAAATAAGACATCTTTTTAAGGGTTAATTTTCCTTATAGATAAGAAATAAGCGTTCATTGTTTTTATAATTATTGAATATGATTCATGCACGGCTAAAATTTAAGCCAGTCACACATTTACAGCCACAAAATGTTATTGTGTTAAGTGCTCCCTAAAGTGCCCTAATGCTGCATTGTTTCTAGAAAGGACATGGTTTTATAAATGATAACTTAAAATTAGTTTAATCTATCCACAGGTGAACTGCTTGCCACTGCTGGAGATGGTAACTATTTTATTTTGTTTTGCATATCATTAAAAAATTAGAGCTCCATAACAGGTGTGGCAAAAGATTATGATAGTTTGGCTGGAAAAGCACAGAGTTTATGGTGTTTGTAACTGAATCAATAGTGCCATGCATTAACAAGTTGATTTTGCAGGGCATTATTCTAAATAAATTGAATGTAAAATTTGTTTCTCTTTGTCTTGAAGGCTATTCATTTTTGAAGATTCATTTTTTAAAATAAAATTTCAATCATGTGATATATCAAGATCTTTCCTAAGTTACATTATATAAGAATACAATTAAAGTTAGAAACCCCACGCAAATTTTATATCATCTCTTCATATTAATTAAAAATCTGTTAAAAACAATTTCTGAAATGTGATTAGTATTTTTAATCCAGACACTGCTATAGTTTTATGGAAACTAAGTGATGTTCCAACTCCTGCCAACAATATATTTGCTGATGATGAAGCGGAAGAAGATAAAGAATCTTGGGTGTGTCATAAAACCCTCAGGTAATCACTCCTATGGAAATCTGTTTTTTTTAAATAAATTATTTATTTCTAATTTTTTTTTTTTTAAAGCTGAATTTTTGTGTGTGTCTTTTGACTGTTGAGCTGGAATGTAGAAAATTAATCATGTTATGTTTTGAATATTGCACAAGAAAATACTTCCAAAATTATTATAATTTACCAATAACACCTTTTTTAACTGTAGATTGACAAAGTAACAGCTGCATTGTTTTAACAATGCATACGTTCTAGGCCTGTATTTACCTTCATGTGTCTATTAGTAGTTTGACAGATAAGCATGAAGTAAACCATCATGAAAATGATTTGGGTCATTAAAAAAAAAGATATCAAACTTAAAACATGAAATACAAGTTATTTCAAAAAATAATTTCCCATATATTCTGAAACATCTTAAAAGAGCAGCAGCAGGTTGGGTTTTTAACTGTTTATCAGTATGGCCTATATATTATTGTCTTTTTCAAATAGATTTTTGTCTTTTTAGGTTTCAAAAAGTTTTTTTTTATTGTTGACAGAGGACATTTGGGAGATGTTGCAGATTTGTGTTGGTCAAAGGATAATCGCTACCTTGTATCAGGATCAGTTGATAACAGTGCAATTGTATGGGATGTCGTAAAAGGCAAGTGGAATCTCTGAAAATTATTTATATAAGTTTATATCAATAAGGTGGCGTATACTACGCCTATGACATAGTTTCTAAGTAATTTTTAGTTAACTTTGTTATCTTATATTTTAAAAATAAACAGTTTTCTAATAGTACCTGTTGTGTAATAAAATACTTCTTCTTGCCATCATGAATAATTAAAAATGTTTACTTTTCCTTGTTTGTCCAATTGATAAACTTAATTATGATTATGACATTGATTTTTGAAAACATTTAAGTTATTATTGCTCATTTGTTCTATTAACACAGATGTAAAGCTTGCCATGTTTAGTGAACATAAAAGTTATGTCCAAGGAGTGGCGTTTGATCCACTTGGAACATATGTCGCTACTCTTAGTGCTGACAGGTAAGTTCTCTAACATTTAAAATGGAATATTTAACCTAAATTCTCAAAATTTCACATTTAAAAAAAAAAAAAAGCTATTAAATGAGAAACTGAAATTGTCACATATTTGAAAATTGTCCCAGCTGTGACTTTGGCTATTATTGGAAATTCTATGATCAGACTATGATTTTGGTTTCAATATGTCATAAAATGTTATTATTACAAGAAAAATAAAATGTTAAATCAAAAGCTGATATTTTATGTTAATAATGTTAAATTTGTTTTCATCCTTAACAAGTGCCATTCATTGTAAAGAAAAAAAAATATTAAAAGGTGGGCTTTTACGATTCCAAACTCATTATCTTCCATTCTCAGGTCATTAAGGCTCTACAATGTGAACTCAAAGAATTGTGTCAACAACGTCAGTAAAATGGTACTCCCATCACATCTAACCACCAACCAGTCATCTGCCGATGCCTCACAATCTGATGCAAAACCAAAATCATTCAGGATATTCCATGATGATAGTCTCAGATCATTTTTCAGGCGCCTTGAATTCTCTCCAGATGGTCAGCTGCTGATAACACCTGCTGGTTGCATGGAACTGGGTGATGGAAAAGTAATAAATGCCTCGTTTGTATTTGCTAGAGGGGCATTCTCGAAGTAAGTGAAGTAACTGATTACATTTTGAATCAAGACAATACAATTTATTAACTGTTCTTGGTGTGTATTAAATACAAATAACTTGTGTATAATTTGAGAAATTATTATTCAAAGCTAAGTTTGGAAATGTGATGTATGAGAAGTGACAAAATGAGATGTACATTTAAATAATTAGTTATTCTGATATATGTCACAAATAATTTCAAATAACTGTACATTTCGTGTTTTCTCACTGTTACAGGCCGGCTGAATATCTTCCTAGCATTGAGAAGACCACTACAGTGATAAGAGTCAACCCACAGCTCTATCAGTTAAGGCCTGTTGACGATACGCAAAATGGTGAGAGGATTAAGACTTATAAAGTCATTTTACTGTTTTATTGCTGTAATCTGTTTTCATTGATAATTAAAAAAAAGAGCATTTACATCTAGGTGAGTTTTTAAATTATTTTATTAATATTTGTTTTTTCTATGTATGATTATCTTTTTATATCACTTTGTTTCTTGCTTTTTATTACAATAAGAAGCTAAGATCTAAGAGTCTTTAAATATGCTTATCTTTCAAATTGGCAGGCTTAGATTCTGAGGGACAGAAGGTATGGGAGAAACACAAGTCCATATTTTGGTAAATATAAATAATAAGTGTATAAGAAATTATTAATTATTTTTTTTACATTTTAGTGTTTCTCTAGTTCTAAAGAGTTTCATTTTCCCCATTATCTTTTCTTGAATTTTAGTTTAACGTCTTAAAAATGCTCAATGTTTTGCAAATGAAATTTTCCTTATTATGTAACCACTTTTTATGAGTCTATTATAATTCATATAAAATTCCAAGTTTTTTGTGTATTTCTAGTTTGCCTAAAATACCTTTTAAGTACAATGATCATTTGTCTTAATAATTAGTAAACTAAAGTATATTTTGTGTTTTGATGATAATTAATTAATTAATATTCTTATTTGTTAAAACAGTCTGCCCTATCGTATTGTATTTGCCATAGCTACAGAAGACTCTGTGATTCTTTATGATACACAGCAGACAATGCCAGTTGGACTGTTAAAAAATATTCATTACCATCAAATCAGTGATTTATCATGGTAAGAACTTAAAATTTCTAAAAATTCTGTGCTGTTCAACATGAAAATAAATTAGAAATGAAGACAATGTGCCCAGATTAAGCATACTCCCTCACTACAATAAATCCAGGTTATTAAAAAGTTTATTTGTCAATTATTCCTCAAATTAAATTTAAGAATAACCATGTAGACTTTATTTTTATCAGAAAAATTGCGCAGATTTATGCGTTTTACAAATAAACAATGTAGCAAAAATCTAATGAGGAAATACAATTTTCTTTTGTTCTTAGCATAATTGTGGTTTACTTAATTTTTCACTCTCCTTTTTTTAAAAATCACATCTTTTATTATCGTAGTTTACAATAGATAAAATGTTTTATTGTTATTATCTTCACACAGGACCAGTGATGGTAAGGCTTTGATTGTTTCATCTACCGACGGGTTCTGTACCATAGCCACCTTTGATGAGGATGAGCTTGGGATACCTTACAGGGAGACAATTTTAGATCATCAAAAATCTCCTTCGTCCAAGGTAAATTAATAACCAGATTTTAAAAGTATCCTGTTTAAAGTATGTTATTATATTAAGCATATTACATAAAAGAGCCTCTAATTTCTAAAAAGCCAGAAAATAATACATTTTGTGCCGAGTAGTGCATGATATAAATATTAAAAGAAACTGATGATGGACAGTAAGCTACTACTTATCGTTATGAATCAGCCTTAACTCATTCCCTCCTGCAATGCTACTTCCGTATTTAATTTATTTGCCTGAGAAAGGGAAGTAACCCCGTTTGGAAATTGTTTACATTTTTTTAAAAATGTATTTAAGCTACTAAATATTATTTAATGTTAATGAATTAAGAACAAATGCAACAAAAAATTAATAAGGTTTAATATAAATATAACATTAGCGGGGAAAAAATAATGAACAATGACCAAAAAATCGATTTTCGGCACCTCGGACGAACACATGCTACATATAGACGCGCCGTACTAAAGCACACGTAGTTTTAAAGCGAAACAAGATAAAAACTTCCGGTTTTTAAATTAAAATCACGCTGAACCACGCCATCGCCGGAAGTCTCGAGGGATGTGAGATTTCATTGCTATTTTTAAATAGATATGAGAGAGGTGTGTCGCTATGCGCCGGGACGCATTTGGACGCATCCGGCGAATCCCGAAAAGACGCATTTAGTCGCAACCGTCGGGAATGAGTTAAGTTTGGAATAAGAAAAAAATAATCAAATGCCGAGTGAAAATCTTTGTTGTTCAGTTGACATAAAAATTTTATTTTTTACAATACCTCCACTAAAAGAATCTTACAAGTTGATAGCATATTTACTGTGATGAAATTCTGACTGATAAATTTTTGTTGGAAGCAAATATAATGATTATCAAATAAATAAACAGCAGAAGTGAAATATATTGTAATCTTTGGGATCTTAGATCTGAATGTTTCTGGTGCCTATTGCACCTATTGAAATTTCATTTGAAAAGTGTGTTCCGTATTCCCCATTATTTTTAATCGTTTGCAATCAATTTTTGCTTATTTCATTATTAACATTCAGTCTCTTTGATTTCCATCACGCTTGTCCTCAGGTTATTCCCGATGCTATGATGGACGTTGATGAAGAGAAAACCCCTGTTAAATCACATCCGGCATCTTCCCTGCCGTTTTCAAAATATTCATCCCAAAATACAAGGGAAGAAAAGTCAGACCAGCAGAAGTCTCCCATTACCAAGACGACCCCAGCACAAGTAGAGAAAACAGTAGAGACTAAAATAAAGTCACCCAAGACTAGTAAAGACACAGCCACAGTAACAAATTTGGCTTCTGATAGATCAGAGTTGACAGATGATGTTAGCCAATTAAAAATTGTAGAGTCAAATCTTGAGAAGCCAGCAGACCCCCAAGATACTAATGAAAAACTTATCAGCGTTTCAAATTCCATTTCACCCAAAACTGATGAAGCACCAAAGAAAAGAAGAGTTCAAATTACAACATTGATGTCCAAAAAATAGCGTAGAAAAAAAATAATTTGTTAAAATGTGCTCCCCTTTTATGTGTCATTGTCTTAAAGTGCATGAGTTTTGCTTCATCTGCTGTCAGCCTAAAACCAGGCTTTTTAAACACATGCTGTGATGAACCTTATCATTTTATATGTTGTGTGCCAGCATTAGAAAAGAAGTAATTAACTTAGATCAAGTAAATTTTGTGCATTTCAACCAAAGATTTGAAGTACACAATTTCATGGATGTGTAATAGACTTTCTTTAACACTGCTTAAAAATATTAAAATATTTAAAAGAATATTAACTGAATTGAATTTCAAGATTTAAATTATAGTTCAAAACTTTTAGTGCGGTAGGGTTTGTAATCTTTCAAATGTGACACCGCTGCAGTTTATCTGATCACTATACTGAGTTAATGTAATGAACAATTTACAACTGATGAGATTTTATTTTAATACTGCGAAATAATTAAATATAACCAAACCTAGGGTGCACATTTACGTCAAACTGTAAGTTTCTATTTGTTAATACTATGGCTTAACATTTTCAGGGGCAAATTTTTTTATTTTTTTCTTACAGAATTGAACTTGCCTGCGGGTAATGGTCTCAAAACTGTAAAGTTGTAAACTTGTACAGCTAGAATTTATATTCTATTTTTTAAATTGATTTTGCATCTCTGACACTAGTGACTGAATTAATCAGAGCTGTGTTCAAAAGTTGGTGGAATTAATTTTTTTTTAAAAAGTAGATTTGATAGCTTTTCAGGAAGTGGTAGCATGTTTGATGGTTCATTTAATTTAATACTCGAAAAATTGAAAAGAAAAATATATGTCATCAACATAAAATATTCTGTCATTAATTTTGTTTCTTTTTACCATTTTCTCATGACAAAATCTCTGCAACACCTTAGAAGTTAAGCATTAATAATTATTATATACATTCACACTTATTAAAATGCATTTATAAACAAGTAGAAGTATTACCAAAAAAAGCCAGCTCTTTAACTTCATGTTCTCTCTTGCCAGTTTGTATTCTGTTTTAAAATTTTTGAGTATAATATTAATAATAATAATAAAATGGAGATATATTCCTCAGATACATTTTAAACAATGTACCTTGAACCTCTTTAAAAAAAAAAAACATAGTTGAAACTCTACAGAATAGTCAGTACCAGTATACCAGTTCCCTGTGAACAAAAAATAATCCAGCATTGCAGCTACTTCTTAACTGACCATTTTTCCTATTTGAACAATAATTAATTGTACAAATAATAATAATCTATATACCCAAAAATGGTTAGGCTAAAATGTACACAAGTTTTTTTTTAAATCAGTATGGAACCAAGATACAATAATTTCAACAGTGTTCTTTAGATAAAGAAATTTGCCTGACTAAATTGGTGAGAACATAAACATTATTAATACTGATACTTCTCTTAAAAAGAGAACACACTCAGGCTTATGATAATGAAGTGCAAAAATCAGATGTGGATAAACCTGCTTGGTTAGTTAACTTTTTTTATCAGCTAATTGTAAAGTAACTGAACAGAGCAAAAACCTTAAAAAAATATGACTTTTTGGAATTATAAGTACAGATATTAAATATTTACTTTACAAGCAATATGTATTCAATAAGTAGATTAAATGCAGTACAGTATTAAAAAATGACTAAAACCATATTCTCTTAGATAATTCATGTAAAAAAACAATTTTTTTTTATTTGTGAAAAATAATTTTTTTGTAACATTTCTGATAATTTTTATGGCCATTTACAATAATAATATAATGTAAACAATTTATTGTTTTATAAACAGATGTGCATCAAGCATACACTCCATAGACATGCTTGGACACACATGCTGTACAAACTAAGTAAATAGAGCTTCTTTAAAAGCCTTTACACAAATTTATTTTAAAATTTAACACTTTTAAAAAAAAAAAATTCAAATTAAGTTTTAAATTTAAATTAAATTTTTTTAAATTTGCTGCCTTCTTTAAAATTACGAGTGCTCTCCACTTTAAAATTATTGGGCGTTTCACAACACTACTTTATGTGTCTCATCAAGATTCGCTCACATGCTACGCAAGTCTCTTAACTCTAGTTGGGCAAAGTGTCTCTGATAGGAACTCCTAATGGTGTTAAATGAGTAGCAACCACTTGATCCAATTTATCTACAATATCCTTGTTCAGATGATTTTTCCAATCACCTACTTGTCCTGAGTGGAGAGTAAAAAATGTATCAGCATTTAAATTATACACAATTTAAAATGACATTTGCGAAATAACATTCAAAATTTTGTTTTTTTAAATGTGAATTAAAATGCTATTTTTGTTTCATTGAAGATTTGTAACACAAGTGCAGTCAAGACTCAAGTGCAGTCTTATCATCCTTTGTCAACACAGTTGTAGAGACATAGATTTCAGTTATTGTCTTTTTAATGTTTTAACTTTGGCGTGTTAAAACATGTTTACCTTTTCTCATGAAATGTTCCCCCTCCTTGGCGGCACCAACATCCTTCAACCAGTCGTAGTTGACAGCTTTGTTGTTCCTCATGGTCTCGAAGCTGCAGTACTTCACAATGTCATTGACTTGGGCTTCAGTTATTGGTTTATTCAGAAATCCAGCAATGTCCCACACTGCTTTGTGAATATTCTGTTGAATATCAAAATTGTCAAGCTTGAATTGTTTGTGCTGGTGAAAGATGTTTTCAATCATTGCCAGATTTACTATTTGAGGCTTTGAGCTGGATAAAGCAGAGGCCCTTGTTGAAAAATCTTCACCTGAGATTAATACAAAACTTGCTAATGTTTACTGGTATGCATGTTCTTTTTTTCTTAAAAACAATGTCATGTGAAAAATGTAAAAAAAAAATACAGTAATTTAAGAATGTAAAAATTTTAATACATTTAGTATCAGCTTGATAAAACATATTTGGAGATTCCTCCAGAAACCACCTTGGTTTTTAGATAACTAGTTAATCTGACCTTTGCCATGGTAAAAATACTCAGGCATTGTATTACAGATTAATAATGTTCTAATAAAATTTTCCAACAAACATATCACTTCTAATTGAGCTTTAAGTAGAAGACCAAAGTTGATGTCTCTCATCATCTATTTTTGGAAAATTTGATTTTTTTTCTTCTTCTATATCATAAGGGCCCACGATCAATGTATTGATCGTTCTGGCTCCTGTATACGCAGAGAGGATTCGCAATGTTTCTGTGCCTGATATTGTTTTCAGATTACCTCCTGCAAATCCTCATAGAACAACACCAGAATGTTATCTTGTTCTCTTCTCTCCCAGGCTTCTTTCACATGCTTCCACCATGGACCGTAATGTACTAGAATTAAAATAGAATTTGAAATTTTAGATTAAGAACTTTGATCCATTTTTTGTTCTATATATAAATATGACAAGCTCAAAATTCCTAAACAAATTTATTTAAACCATTTTTTTGGTAAAAAAAACAACTGAATGCTGACAGTGAACATAAACATAATTTTACCAAGGGAATTACTTTCTCATCTTATGACCTGATCACAAAAAATAGATTTTTATTTTACACTCAAATAAATGAATCTGTTAATTTCTTTTTAAGATGTTTGAACATCAGCCTAACAACTGGATTTCTTCTGGAATGATAATACTTACCAAAGTCATCAATAAACAATTGACAGTATTCATCAAATGTACCATTAAAGATATTGTCTTCAATGACAAACTTTGTCAAAAAATAATAATAAGACACCACTGTATCTTTGGGATTTCTAGCAATGTAGATGATCTGCAAATTAGTGAAGTCAAATCAGCTACAGTTGTAAAATCAAAATTTGAAAATAAACACCTAATTTTTTCTACTTTCAATAATTAAAAATTGTCTATACCTCAGATGAAAATGTAAAAATTCTTTGCGACTAGTTTTTTTTTCTTCCTTTTTAAAAAATACTATGTCAACGCCTAATGCTGTGAAAGAATTTTTTTTTAAACTACGTAGATTTTAATAATTTGATACCACTGCTGCCTAATGCAAATTTTTATTCCCCCGTTAAAATACATTTTAATAATTACAATTAAGTCTTTGATATTATGTATCTGGTCTTAACCTTAGGCTTTTTGTCCTTCATTTGGTTGGGCAGCATTGTCAGTGGCAAATGGGATTTGATGAGCCTTGGAGATGGCATTTTCTCTATTGATTTTAAACCTGGAACGATCCACTCGAAGTAAGGAAATCTTTCTTCGATAGTTGCTGCACCTGCACTTTCAAAATCGGCTCCATTATTTACAAGGTAGACAATCTCTTGGACCCAAGTAGTTCCTTGAAATAATTTAATTCATAAAACAAAATAAGTTAGGACAATGCTTATCACACACAAGTATTTCACTAAACATTTACTTTAAATTTTATTAATAAAAAATAACGTTATCAATAAAACAATTTTTTTTAAGCACTTTATAAAGCTTGATAGGAATTTTTGCAGCAACATTTTTAGTTGAGGTGTGTGAACCCCAAAGGCATTATAAGCACAGCCAATTTTAAAAATGTTTCTAATTTTTTAGACATAGGCTATACTATAAATACTTACATTGTATGCAGTATTAAAGAGTCTTTCAATGCCAGCTATGCACCCTACCATCCCAAAATTTATATCCTTACTCCATGAGTTGATTTTTTTAGGTTAACAGATATTGCAATAGTAAGTTGGATTTCCTCCAGGGTAGTATACAGCTATGGGTAAATAGGATAATTTAAGAGGGACTGTGTTCAAGCCATGTGAAGGAAATAGTAGAAGTAGGTATGCTGAATCTTGAAATGAAAAGACATGAAAAACAAAAAGATGTTTTGGCTAGATGCAAAAGGAAGCCATCTAGATGAAACATCCTTCTGTTTATCCTACCTTTTCATTTCATGCGTCAACAGACCTTGTTCTACTATTTCCTTCAATGAGTAAATGGTCGGGTGGAATGGAATAGTCACTATTGTATGAATTAAGTAAGGGGGTTATTCTTGGGGCAGAGTTGAACACTGACTAACACACTAAGCCATAGAATTTGGAAAACCATTGCAGACTTGGTGCGACTTCAAATAAGAGGTGTCATAAAAATAAAGCTGTTGTAATAAGAGGTGTCATAAAAATAAAGCTGTTGTAATAAGAGGTGTCATAAAAATAAAGCTGTTGTAATAAGAGGTGTCATAAAAATAAAGCTGTTGTACTGGTTAAGCTAAAGCTGCCAGAATAAATCCAGAAAGAAAATAGAAAAGAAAGAAAAATCTTTAGGGCTTAAGGTCCATTTTGTGACTTACCTGATTTTGGAAAGCTCACCACCCAGATATCATCTTCTCGAACATCAAACTGATGAATACTCTTTACATCATTTACAACAAAATCAGGGTATACAAATCCTCTATACCGAAAAAGCTGTGGTTTCCTCCCATATTGTGGAACTTTTATATCCTCTATTCCCAGAGCACTTCTTCCCATTCTTGAATAGTAACGGAATGCTATAGAACTAAGAAGACAAACACCAATGAATCCTGATAGATATGTCAATAATAGAAGCTTGAGTCGTCTTGATAGCTGATTTGGATCCAATTTTGGTAATCCTGTCTGTGTAGAAAAATACCTTGTAATCAATAGTAAGCCTTTGCTTCCCTGTCCACCATAGCTTGTTACTGGTGACTTGTTTATAAATAAGGCTCCATTAGCACATCTCAGCCCTAATAAACTTCGGTGTAGTTCTTCAAGTTTTTTTACATTTGGTTGTCCACTGCATGGAGAAGCGAACAGAGAATGAAGCCTAAAATGTGGTGTTCGAACAAAGGCAATCTGCAATGGCTTGCAACTGTTGAGGAGTCTAACTTGCTGTAGTAAATGCATTGCTACAGGATAACAGAAAGCCTTATTCAACTTAATGAGTGGAGAACAACCAAGTGCAGCTCGCACTTTTAGAAGATGGAGTATCCACTCATAGTCCTGGGCCTAATGTTAATAACAGTCAGTCTAAAGTAAAAATAAGACAAAACAGGAGCTGAGTATACTAAGCTTTATACACCAGTTACCAACTCCCACTCTGATAACCCTTTAATATTAATATAGTCCTAACAGAGGCGTAGCGAGGGTGTTTGGCGCCGGGGGACAAGATCCATTTTAAAGCGCCCCTTTTACTTTTTTTCAACTCTCAAACTCATTATTTTCATCAATAAAATAATATCAAAGCACATTTTGGCGCCCCTAACGCACAAGTTAATAATTAGCATAAGTAAGGCTAATAAATAGATCCCAATTAGAATTAGTTAAATGATTTCATTTAAAATATTGAGGGCGAGGGGTAAACAACTAACCAAGTTCGGTCCGCAATTAGCTTATCTTTTATTAATACAACTTCTACTGCTAATCATTGTTTCTAATCACGTATCTCATATGTGGTTTGAATGAATTATGTTATAATTAAAACCTAGTATCTAGGCTAATGAGCATTGAATTGACACCTCTACAGTGGGTGTCCACCAGGGCCGTCTTTAATTTACAGCAGCCGAGGCCCTGGGCACAGTATTCCACGTTTGTAAGTCAAAGTCAAAGTGTAAAGTAAAGTTAAAGTTTTCATTTATTCATCAACAAAAGGCACAATAAAGTTTGGCGCATGTTGAAAAAAGAAAAGAAATGATAATTTCACTGGAATTCAAAGTGATCGTATAAAAAAGGGCCGTGTTATAACTGTTAATGTCATTGATATTGAATTGATTAACTATGCTAACATCAACTTCTGAGATTTCTTTCATATATAAATTTCATAAATTTAAATAAACCAGCAGTATAAGTATATGATATATTTTCCAAAATACTTTAGCTGAAAATGTTAGTATGTTTCAGAATAGTCTAAATTTATTCTTAGTAAACTCCCCTTGTTTTTAATACCAGACTCCAAACAACACAAGTGGCCGCTCAATCATAATGATAATGGTTGCGTTTAATTTTCTTTCTATTAGAAATGCATGGTAAAGGTAGGTACCTTACTCTGAAAAATAGTTTTTGTACTGTTTATGACCTTAAAATTTTATCTGGCTATCTTTTTAAACATTTTAAATCAACTAGAATATTACATTGAATGTACGAAGTGTCTACACGTCCGGCGCGCCGGACGTGTAGTGCGCAAGATACACGTCCGGTGACTTGTCACGTGACCGCCGGACATGGCCGGACGGCTAGTAGTTTTTATAATTCCAAACAAAGTGCGATTTAGTACATCTTGTCTGGTCTTGTGGTAGAGTGGTTGCTTGACGATAGGAATGTTTGAGGATCTATACCGGGGATAGGGTCGTTTTTTTTCTTCCCATTTTAATTAAAATATTTTGTATATATTTATATTATCATGTTCCTCAGCAACAGTAGTTTCATGAGAAGTTTTTAAATATTTTGTAGCAATTGAAATAATTTAAAATGAAATCTTTAACTTTTATTGGTTGCCACACTGGCCCCTAATTTATTTTATGGATTACTGGTACACAAAAAATAACAAACTAAACAAAAATGTTTACAAGCCACTTTCACTTAAGTTTCTTTTTCTATTATTTGCATTCAAGATACTCAGTACATTACTTGGTAGAGAAATAGATTTTAAAATTAACAATAGTTTTGAATTATTCGCAGTCACGTGACAAGGCTGACCGACACGATATCTCTCGCGACTTTGTTACGGCGGTCATGTGACTTGGTCGCCGGACACATAGTGCGGGAGATAGACGTCCGGCGCGCCGGACGTGTAGACACTGCCTTGAATGTAACTACAGCCGCATAATACAGAATCAGAATACAGTAGGTCAGTGTCAGTAAGTACACTACACAGTCGAGTAAGAGTCGACAAACACTGATTTACAGTGAAACACTGCCACTGAGTTAACTGAGTGAGTGAAACAGACTGTCAGGTGTGTGAATCATTGAATGAAAATGAAAAACAAATAAAATAAATTTGAATCTGTTATTGTGAAGTGACTGTCTTAGTCTTAATGTTGTGTGAGTCATGACACAACTCACAATGAGTATGAGTGACGATGCCGTCAATGCTGAACCAAACACTTGTCTCTTTTCTTATACTTATTCTGTATGTATGGAAAGTTTGTTTTAGTCAAATAGGGATTTTGTTTCACTTTTACAAATTAGATATTTAAATATTAAATTTATTTATGAACTTAAATTAAAGTACGCCTAAGCCTAAGCATCTAAGTATTCTAAGGTCTCATTGCCTCATACTCATACATTATAATAATAATGATGCCTTTCACTCATTGCCCATCATTGGCTTCTAACCATTACACAGCCACACACATACACACACAGTTTCTACTCACCAGCTTGCACTGTGGCTTTATATGATATCTAATATCAGGTGACCATTGGGATTAGGCCTATATAGTATCAAGAACTCTTCTGTGTTTAATTAATTGTGATACATGGCAGAGCACGGAGTAAATGCTCGCGGATTGAACCATGCGATCCAAATTTACTATATTAGCATATCAACTACCACTACCCCTTGAAATTAAAGTACTGGTGTATTTACATTTCTAAGCTTTGAAATTTTAAAATAGTCAAATTCAAATTATCAACAACAAAGATTGTTAAAAATCAAACCTGCCTGTTTTTAGCTATTCAAGGAAATCATGCACTTCTGTGTTTTTGTGTGAAACAGATGAACTAATTCCCTCTCTTCAAATTAATTAGAGAATTTGTAATTTATAGATGTATTTAATGATGCAAGATTTTATGTGTGTTCAATAAATATTGTTCTCATCCACGACCTTAAATTTTGATTGATAAAATCACAGACTAAAATATTTTAAAAGTGCCCTTTCCTGGATTGAAATGGCCCAGGCTATAAATAAATCATTGAGGTAGTTTATAAATTTTTATTTTTTGAATGGGGATGCAATCCTAAATTATTTAGACCACTGGCAATGGTAGATTGTTGAAACTACCAAACCAGTGACTAGCACAACAGAGCAGCTCTCCATTTATGAACAGCTAATGCGTGGCTAAGGGCTAAATTAGCAGCTTTGAATACCCCTCTTATAGTAATGTTAATAGACTTCAAGCTAAATTTTTTACTTTAAATATTTCAATTGGTTTTGTTTTAATATTTGATTAGCTTAATAATACAAGTGCCAGTTAAAGCATAAAGACCATTCCAGTAAAATAACTATCCAAAACTTATATGTGATATTCTGATCCATTTATTGGCTTATGATATTTAGAGCCATGAACTATTAGCGCAATTTAAAGGCATTTTCATCATTGAATAAGAAGTACTAATTGATCAATGTTTGATCAGCTGTTATAACATTTTAGTCTTCAACTCTTATTATATTTGTATACATTATGTATACACATTAGTTAATTTCAGGGGATTGGCCTGCAATAAAGAGTTAGAAGTTAATTAATTTAAAGTGACAAAATGAGACCAATAAACACCTTTCTCATCCTGTTCATCTACAGATTTCTCATCCAAATCATCTCCAGATTTCTGATTTAGTTCATATTCATATTTCTGATCCAGTTCAAATTCTGATTTCTCATCCAGTTCATCACCAGATTTCTCTATCACATTGCAGAGTATTTCAAACGTGGACATGTCTCCAAGATTTACTTTCCCACACTAATTTTTTTAGCCTGAAGACAAATGCCTGAAGATATCCTTTGAATTACATAATGGGAGTTTTCTCCCCATGAAGTTTCATTTTCAGCTTTCTCAACTCCATGGTGAAGGTTAAGTTGAAAACTCTTCTCCTCCAAGCTCAATTATTAAAGTAAACTTCAAGGTCATTTTGCTTTCGAATTTCCAGGAAAAGCCCAGTTTCAGTAACTTCACTTTCTTTAAAATTCAAGGGTTAGAGCCCATTTATTTAAAACATATTTTTTTTTTTATCCTTAAGTTCCAATGCTCTTTCCTATAATGCTTGGATCACTGCTTTGCTTTCTAACTGTTGGAGCAGAACTCTGAATCTGACCAACCTATGAATAATTACCCCAATGAATTCATTTTTGTCAGTGCATGTTTCAGCCATAATGCTAGTCTGAAAACTAACCATGATGATGACCTACAGTGGTGCTAATGAATGCCTCTGAGTTGTGCCTGACTTACATTAAAATGATCCACTCCAAAGTGCTGAAGCAAAAATGCATACACTTTCAGAGTATCTGATAGAATTGATCCAATTTAGTCTCATTGTAAATAATTTTTCATAGATAAATAATTGTAGCTTTAAATAATTTTGTGATTCTCTAAAAAAAAACAAAACACCAAAAAAAAAATTTTTTGTTGGGGGGGGGGGTGTTAAAACTGATAATTATTTAAAGGTTTATGATATTTTGCTTTTCTTCCTTGTTTTTTATGATATTACACTAGAAGGCCCCAAACATTTATCACTATTTATATGATGGGGCAATAGAAGGCACGAGTTATCAACTATTTATATGATGGGACAATAGAAGGCACGAGTTATCAACTATTTATATGATAGGACACTAGAAGGCACGAGTTATCAACTATTTATATGATAGGACACTAGAAGGCACGAGTTATCAACTATTTATATGATAGGACACTAGAAGGCACGAGTTATCAACTATTTATATGATAGGACACTAGAAGGCACGAGTTATCAACTATTTATATGATAGGACACTAGAAGGCACGAGTTATCTACTATTTATATGATAGGACACTAGAAGGCACGAGTTATCAACTATTTATATGATAGGACACTAGAAGGCACGAGTTATCAACTATTTATATGATAGGACACTAGAAGGCACGAGTTATCAACTATTTATATGATAGGACACTAGAAGGCACGAGTTATCAACTATTTATATGATGGGACACTAGAAGGCACGAGTTATCAACTATTTTTTGTAAAGCTTCACCTTTTTTCCTACTATACACCTACAAAACGTCCTGATTTTCAAATGCAACTTATTTTGTTTTTAATTGTAATGACCAGGTTCAAGAAACGTGCAGTTTTCTGTGACATTTTCCAAGAGAATTCTAACTGACCATCAAAGATCAAACTGTAAAGTAATTATAAGTGTAACACTGTGCATTGACCAAAGCCCGCCTTGCTTCTGAGAGGTCATCAATGCTAAGTGTGTGGACTTAGCTGGCTTTTTGGATTTAAAAAAAAATTGTTTGAAAGAAAGCTTGTGTCAAGTAGCTCCTATGATGCCTATAGATAATAAGTGTTTTCTACACTAATTCAAAGACTGTCAGGAATACAAGAAACTAATGCTGTAAGGTAAACAGTAAGTGTTCTTTCATTTTTTTTTATAAATTAATTTTTGTTTGTGTGTTCGTCTCATTAAATAATTGTAGTTGTTTTTTTCCCTTTCTTTTTGCATTCATTGTACAAGTTTAAGATTTCATTTTTCAGAGTTACGGTAGCTGCTTGCTACAGTCGTAAACTGTTATAACTGACAGATTATTTGCCTCACAAGTTTAAAAAAAAAATTCTTCTCACTTTCACCATTAGATCTAATGTAATTTTGTGATAAGACCTCAGCGGTGTGTTTTTTTTTGGTTTTGAAAAAAG